CTGTGCTCTCCCAAGAAGGCCCAGCTGCCCTGGCTGGGTAGCTCGGTTGGTGAGTGCGTCATCCTAATACACCAAGGAGGTGGTAGACTCGGTCCCTGGCCAGGCCACATGGGAGAATCAACCAAGGGTCCCGCTAGCCTGGCTTGGTGGTTGAACACCAACCTATGGACCAGGAGGTCACAGTTCGATTCCTGGTCAGGACAGAAGTGATCTTCCAAGTCTTGGTATCAAGCAGGTACCATGCCTCCCACCTTCGCTGCTCCCATCTCCGGGGACGCCGCGGCCGTGCGGGGTGCGGCCCTGTGCAGGGGCCCATGTGTGAGGAGCAGAGGCTGCCTGCCCAGGCCAGCCTGCGGAGCCTCCTCGGCGCCAGCGAAGAGATCCTGAAGAGGAGCCACCCAGAAACCGGGAGAGATCATGTTTGCTGTTGTCAGACACTAGACGGTGGGGCCATTTGTTATGCCGCAGCAGCAAACACATACAACAGACGAGAACATTTCAGATGGGAAGAGATCATGGTTGTGAAGCAATCGTCCATCCAACCAGCTGGTTCTGATCCCAGAAAACGGTCACTCGGATCCACAGGCCAGAAAGGTGAGACACCTCCCCCAGAGAGCTCTGCCCTGAGGCCCATATGCTACATACAGCACCATCTCAGGGAAGAAGGAATTGTCCATAATAGTCTCAAGGACATTGTCAACGAATTAAGGGAGAGGACCTCATGGCCCCGTGCCCCAAATAAATCGCAGGTGGAATAAGATACCCTGAGCAAGTAAGGCCATAAGACACCGGCAGAGGGGGTGGGAGGGCTGGGCATGCAGGCGCCAGGCAAGTACAGGGACAGCGACACCTCCCCACAGAGACAGTGCGTCACTCGCCCGAGCTGGACGACTCTGGGCTGCAAGGTGACTGCGCTTTAACGTGGTGATTTCGCTTTCCGCATCTACCTGGGGACATAATCAGAGTGGCACTATATTCCTTATCATTGTCCCGAGCCACTCCCAATCGAATGTCTGTCATAGAGGTGACATAGAGGTGATTCCAATTTCCCGAGCTGTGGCGGATCCCTGTTAGGATGAGATTTAAAGTCACGCTCTCCAGACACCACGCACACCAGCCGTGCTCGGATGTAAGTGACAAAGCAGGACCAGCACCTCCCACAGGCCCTCTAACCACTGTGTGCACGGGGTGTCTTACTGGCTGCGTTTTCTGCTTTACACTTTTCCGTGCTTCCCACATTCTCCACAATGAGCACGTGTGGCTTTGTCATAAAAAGAGACCAGCAGCGCACTCCACAGAACTGCACCCCGAGCGGCGATCTGTTGCTGAAGGTCCGGTTTGAGCCCTGGTATTGAGTTCCCCAAACCGACCTGTCATTCAAGGCGCTGGGCCTCCGATGCCCGTGTCCCCGGAAGGCCTCCGTGCGCTGCCCACGCTGGGCAGCTCTGGTGACAGCAGCGTCTCGTCAGAACCCCTGTCCTCGCTTCCTCCAGCGTCAACCCTGGGGTTCTGCCTGCAAATCGGGGGAGGTGAGGGGTGGTGCAGGCACACACGGAATCCTCTGTTCCTGATCCACCACCCTTCCCTTCCACGCTAATGCCCAAGGCTCAGGGAGTCCTGAAACTGTCCAGGGCCTAGGGCTGGGCTGGGCGGGGCGGGGTTGGGCCGAGGAGGGCAGCATAGATCCAGAAGACCTGTGAGTGAGCAGTCTGGAAGCGCCCAGTGAACATGTGATTTGCAATCACTCACCGCAGTCCTTGTGGAGCAGCTGTGCCCCCCACTGGAATGCACGCATCCTGAGAGCTCACCGCCATCTCCTCAGCAGGGAGCAGGGCCAGCAGCCGGGCCCAAGCTGTCATGCCCTGCTCCCCTTGAGAAATTACCTAACATTGCCAGGCATGAGGGCTGTCACCCTAGGGTCCACCCAGGCCCCTCCGCACTGTAAGAGCATCAGCCAGCCTGCCTGGTGTGGCTCGGTGGTTGGGTGTCAACCCATAAACCAAGTGGTTGCCGGTTCAGTTCCTGGTCAGGGCACATTCCCAGATTGCAGTCTTGATTCCCGGTGTGGGAGACAGCCCATCGATGTTTCTCATTGATCTCTCTCTCTCTCTCTCTCTCTCTCTCTCTCTATCTCTCATCAATAAAAGCATATTTTTTAAGAAGATCATCAGCCGAAACCGGTTTGGCTCAGTGGTAGAGCGTCAGTCTGCGGACTGAAAGGTCCCAGGTTCAATTCTGGGCATGTGCGTTGGCTGTGGGCACATCCCCAGTGGGGGGTGTGCAAGAGGCAGCTGGTCGAAGTTTCTCTCTCATTGACGTTTCTGGCTCTCTATCTCTCTCCCTTCCTCTCTGTAAAATATCAATAAAATATATTTTTTTAAAAATAAAAAATAAATAAAAAGAGCATCAGCCAGTCCCTAGTGGACATTGGGAGGCCCGTCGGACTTGGCCCCGCTGGTGCGGCCCCACACACCAGGAAGAGGGTGTCAGTAAGGCCTTTGGGAAGGAAGGGGGGCTGACAGGTGGAAGCTCCCACCTGCCCCCCGGGGGCTCCTCTCAGAAGCTTTGCTCTGAGATTTCGGAGACGCCTCTCGGTGCCCCAGCGCAGAACGTGGTGGCCTCGGACGCGAGGGCCTGGTGACGTGTGCCCAGCACTGCTGGGAGGCCCTGCTGCTGGATTTCAGACGACCCATTCCTCGGCCCTCTTCGGCTCTCACACTAACACAGACACCACGGCAGCCCGAGGCCAAGGCCAGGATACCCTGGGGTCACGGTCTCAGGATGCCGCGTCCTGCCACCAGCCTGGAGGGGACTCGGGGTGCTCCTCAGCCCTCACCACCAGGGACCCCGTGTGGAGGCCTCTGCTGACCACCTGCCTGTGTTTGTGGTCAGCACTCGTCCCCCGTGGCCGAGAACAAGAGGCACGTAGATGCCCGTCTGTAACCAGGGAGAGCGAGTGCTGTCAGCTGAGCTGGTGCCCCCGAATTCCCAGCACAGACTCCCCGTCCCATCTCCCAGACGAGGAAGGAGGAGGGAGCCCACGGGGAGGGGTGAAGCCCAGACTCACCCCCTGCTGGAATGTCCAGCTCTCTGTCCCGGCCCGGGTCCCAGAGGCCTCGGCCTTGCTGCCGCGATGCAGCTCGTTTGGGCTTTCGGAGTGGACAGCCCCGGTGAGACCACACCAATCTCCTCCCCCACCGCCTGCGCCCCCGCCCTCCCGCCCGATGCAGACAGAGGCTAAAAATACCCCTTCGGCCCCACGTGGCCACGCAGCCCGGCAGGCCCTCCATGCCCCTCGGCCAGCTGGCCAGTCTGTTCTCCGGCCGGAGTCCTCAGCAACGGGGCGCAGGGGCCCACGAAGAGGTAGGTCAGGGGGCTCTGGAGCGGGCAGACGGGAGGGGGAGGGAGACTGGGAGACAGTGGATTACCGTGGCAACGCCCGTGAGCTTGGTGACCACAGTGCCGGACACCTCCACGGTCAGAGCGGGCCGTGGCTCCCCCAGGACACCGGATTCGAGACCGTGGTCAAGCCCAGCCCTCAGGGTGGGGTGGGGACTCAGACTTTCCTCTGTGCCCAGCAAGGGGGAGGCTGGACCGCACCCCAACTGCAGCCGGGGCCACAGCGCCCGGCATTCGGCTGGAGCTGGATTAAGGCCCTTCCTTTGCTGCCCTGCCTGCTCAGCCCACCTCACCCCCGGCCCAGACAGGCACCGGTGAGGCTCTGGGACCCTCCAGAAGCCCCATCCTGGGCTGTTGCTGCAGGGTGGCAGGTGGCAGCGGACAAGCCTGTAGCCCCACAGGAATGTGGTTGGGCACTCCCGCCGCTGGGGCCCGTCATGGTAGCAGTGGGCCAAAGGGACCCAGCAATGACGGGAATGCGAGGTCTGGGGACAGTGGCTGGCCCACTAATCTGCTAACCTCCCTTCGGAGAGCAGAGCTGCCATCACCAGCCAGAGGGCCTGGGGGAGGGAAGGGGAGGCAGGTATCAGCCAGGGCCAGCTGACCCGTCCTCTCCTGGCGTGAGCCCGAGAAGGTGCTCAGGACCCCAGGTGGGTTCCCTGGGTCTGTGCCTGCTCTGCAGAACGGGGATGGGCACCAGCAGGAGGGGAGGGACCGTCAGCTCAGCGAGGCCTCCCACCCCAGGGGCCTGCGCAGTTCACCGCTTGTTTCTGGGGCTCCGTCCCCAGGGACGACGGCTGCGGAAGGCGCTCCCTGGTGGACAGACTGTTTCTCTGGCTGCAGCTCCTTGCAGCTGTGGGGAAGGCCAGGCCAAAGCCTCCATGCAAACCGTTTCCTTCTCTGGGGAGGCCTCCTTAGAGTGAAATATCAGAAGAACACAAATCAGCATGCGCGTAACTAAGTAAGCCCAGAGGTGGACTTGCTGACTCGGACGAAATGAACCCTGGGCTGTGAAATCAGAAAGTTTACCTTGGTTTGTCCTTACCAACCTGTACCCAGAGACGACGGGAACCGGGGGGGTTCCGCAGGGGCTTCCCAGTCTGGCTCCCCCGCTTCCTGCGGCATGACCCTAAGCAAGTGCTGCTTTGTGCCTCGGTTTCCTCACTTGTAAAAGGGACGCGAAGAGCCCGCGTGGCTGTGTGGTGAGGGCGAGAGGCACCCTTGGGATGTGGCCAAGCACACGGGAGCCTCAGCGAGAGCTGCTGCAGAGACGCGGTCACACAGCCCCTTCACCGTCAGCTCTCAGTCTGCAGATGAGGAAACCGGCCTGGAGCGGCCGCGGCTCCCCCAGGACACCAGCAGGGTCATAGCAGGCCGAGGCTCCGCTGGACCAGGGGCGGTGGGACAGGCAGCCTCCCCAATGTCCCCAACGCCCTCCCCGGCCACGGCGGGTCGGGGAGCAGGGGAGGCCACGGGGTGCTCCGCCGAGGCCTGTGGGTGGGGGAGGACCGATGTGAACGAGACCACGAGCCCCAGCTGACCTGCTTCCCTCTCGCCCCAGGAGCTTCTTCCCGGGGGCTGGCCGTGTCGGCTCCGCAGCCATGGTTCGGAACGTGGACGACCTGGACTTCCACCTGCCCTCGCACGCCCAGGACATGCTGGACGGGCTGCAGAGGCTGCGCGCGCAGCCCAAGCTGGCCGACGTCACGCTGCTGGTGGGCGGCCGGGAGCTGCCCTGCCACCGCGGCCTCCTGGCGCTCAGCAGCCCCTACTTCCACGCCATGTTCGCGGGCGACTTTGCCGAGAGCTTCTCGGCGCGCGTGGAGCTGTGGGACGTGGAGGCCGCCGTGGTGGGGCAGCTGGTGGACTTCGTGTACACGGGCCGGCTGACCATCACCCAGGCCAACGTGGAGGCCCTGACCCGCACGGCCGCGCGCCTCCACTTCCCCGCCGTGCAGAAGGTGTGCGGCCGGTACCTGCAGCAGCAGCTGGATGCCACCAACTGCCTGGGCATCTGTGAGTTCGGGGAGCAGCAGGGGCTGCTGGGCGTGGTGGCCAAGGCCTGGGCCTTCCTGCGGGAGAACTTCGAGGCGGTGGCGCGGGGGGACGAGTTCCTGCAGCTGTCCCGGGACCGGCTGGCCGCCTGCCTGGCCAGCGACCTGCTGCAGGTGCAGCCGGAACAGAGCCGGCTGGAGGCCCTGCTGCGCTGGGTGCGCCACGACCCCCAGGCCCGGGCCGCCCACCTGCCCGAGCTGCTCGGCTTGGTGCGCCTGGACGCCGTGCCCAGGCCCTGCGTGCAGCGGCTGCTGGCCACAGAGCCGCTCATCCTGGAGTCGGAGGCGTGTCAAGCAGCCCTGTCCCAGGGCCATGATGGGGTGAGTGGGGAAGGGGGAGCGGGGAGGGGGCAGCTCAGGCACTGCACCTCCATGGGGATGGAGAGGGCACCGTTCACCCCCACGTGCAGATGGTGCTCAGGCGTGTCAAATGTGAGGAGGAGGGGACAGGAGCGCAGACAGGGGTGGCGGCCGCTGCCACCTGCCCCTTAGGAGGCCGTGGAGCTCCGATGGGTGCAGTTTCCTCTCTGTGCTGGCAGTGGGCCTGGCGGGCAGGGCAGGCCCTGATGAAGTGACAGGCCCGGGTGTGGCTGGGACAGGGAGCCGGCAGGCCCACCTGCTGCTTGCTCAGGGCCTTGCTCCGGAGGCTGTCTCAGCAACCAAGTCCAGAGACAAAACCGTGCTCAGGCCAGGGACGAGGTGCAAGGTGGCCCTGCACCGCCAGGCGCAGAGGGCCAGCTCGGGGCAGAGCCAGCTGGGGGGCCCGCCCCGTGAGGGCGTCACCTTGTAATTTCTGGTGGAGGGAGGTGCAGGCATCCATGGGAGGGACCAGAGGGCCAGTGGAACCCCTGGTCCTGGGAGCTCTGGACAGTGGCTGCTTACCAGCTAGGGTGGGACCAGGTCAGCATTTCCCACCTGCCAGGGCCATCCGAGTCGGGATCAGGGATCCGGGTGCAGGGGGAGGCTTATGGGGGGCGTGGGGACAGCGTCTGGGGTCAGTTCCAAAGGGGGTGCAGGAACACCTGGGCAGGCACGTGGTGGCCACTGGAAGGAGAGCTGCTCTCACACTCAGGGCTCAGGGTAGCTGCCCTCCCTCTCGCTGTTCTGTGCTTTGATGCAGTCACCACACATATGGGCACATGTACACACATGGGCACATACATGCACATGCATGGGCATACACTCTGAACCTTACCCACCCATCCATGTGCACCAACACGGAAGCACCCAAAGCTGTCCCCGAATGTCAAGGCTACTTACCACCCGCCTCAGAAAACACCGCCAGGGCCTGCGAGCGCTGGGCCCTGGGTGCGGACATCCTTCCCTCTGACCGCAGCCCCTGGCCCACAGGCGCCGCCGGCCCTGCCGCAGCAGCTGGAGGAGGTCCTGGTGGTGGTGGGCGGCCGGGCCCTGGAGGAGGCCGAGGAGGGCGCCGAGGAGCCCGCCCCGCATCTCGAGAACTTCGCCTTCTACAACGCCAAAGCCAGTGAGTACGCTGGCACCGAGCTCCGCCTGCCGCCCGACAGGGGCCCCTGTGAGGTGCTCAGAGAACAGGCCCATCCTGGGTGTGCCCGGGCCTCAGGGGGCGGTGGGCGAGACGGGGGGAGGGGATGCGGACGGTGGGGGGCACCGCAGGCCCCTCTCCCTTCGCCCAAAGCCCTCGGTATTGTCCTTTAGGCCGTGGGGCCCCAATAAGAGGTTCTGCTGCCCGGACCACACGGTATGGGATGGGTGACCTGGCAGCTGCTTCCTCTTGGTGCCCTGTGCCCTGAGTGCCCCTATGGCCTCAGGGTGGGTTGCAGCCCCAATGGGAATTCTAATTGCAGCCTCGGAGCAGGTCACTTTACCTCCCTGAGCCTCAGTTTCCTCATCTGTGAAATGGGCTCCCTCGCCCAGTTGAAATGCGGAGCCAACAGGCAGGTCCCTGCCCTGCCCTCTGACGTGTCTCTCCTGCGGGGGATGGGGAGGGCATGCTGGCCCAGGCAGCCTTTGGGCTGCACAGATGCAGGCTGCTGGGGTCCTGGGGCTGCGGGGCAGGTGGCCAGCCACCCCCATGGCATCAGGGGCTGGTGGGCTTGGGGCGGGCTGTCCCGGGTCAGGGGCTGACGAGGGGATTTCGGGCCTGACATCAGAAAATGAGCTCAGCTGATTCAGTGCGGAAGCAGCTGTCCCTCGGATCCCACTGGGAGGGGGGTGAGGGGGGAGGTGCTGGCAGGCAAAGACCTGGTGACTGACTACTGGGCACTCCCCATGGGGTGGCACAGACATGAGTCAGGAGGGCACATAGCCCCTGCTCAGCAAGGCCCCAAATTCTGCGTGTTCTGAAAACTGTTGTCAACAACAAGCAGACTTTTCCAAGGGACGTCCCCAAGGCTGTGCCCCTCCCACAGCCTTCCATAAAACCCCAAATGTGTCTGCTTACAGGACGTAACTGTGCCCACCTTTATTGTCTCGTTTCTATGTCCTCAACGCGTCTTCTCAGCACTCCTTCCTCCGCTCACCTCACGCAGCTCCATGAAGTCAGGTCTGACTTGGGTGCCTCTGTCCTAGAAGCCACCTCTGCTGAGCAGTCGCTGTGTGACAGACACATGCCATCCCGTGTAGTCCCCACACATCCCTGGGGGGTGGGAGTCACCCCCATTCCAAGAGGAAGGAACTGTGGCCAGGGCTGGTGCTGAGAGCTGGTGTGGACCACTCTGCCATCGCAGTCCACGACTGGCCCCGCATGCCCCTGGCCCACGTGAGCACAGAAGGGGCTTCGGGGCAAATGCGTGAGGAATTCGGGAAGGAATGATGCTTCTGTTATAACCCACTAGCGACTAGAGACCAGGCCCTTTAACCCATTACCCCTTTGACTGAGGTGGGACCAGGCCAAAAGGCCCATTCGGGGTCCGTGGGGTCAACTGCAGGGTCGTGTGAGAGCAGCCTCTGGGGCTTGGCCGCCTCTCGGCTCACCCTGGGGCTGTGCTGTGTCCAGTCCGGGTGCCAGGCTCCAGGGGGCCACCAGGAGCCGGGCCTGGCAATGCACATGGAGTACCAGGGGCACCTCGGACCCCCCTGGCCCCACTGGGGTGGCCCCCACTCCTGCGGCAGCTGAGTGGCCCCTTACCCTTTTGCGGTGAGGGAACGTCTCTGCACCACTGAGCAGAGGGGGTTTGGGGGTGCAGCCCCAGCAGGGAGCTCTGATGCTGACCCTGCCTCTCTCCTCCTGCCAGAGAGGTGGACGCCGCTCCCCGACTTCCCCGACTTCCACAAGTGGGGCTTCTCCCTGGCCGCGCTGAACAACAGCGTCTACGTCACAGGTGGGCAGGCGGGGCTCCCCCTGCGCTTGGGGGGCCCCAGTTTAGGCAAGACTCTTGCTGAGCTTTACAGGTTGTGAAAATGAGGAAATTTTAGGGCCACACAGGCCACACGTGGGTGCAGGGAACAGTCCCTGCCTGACGCGGCCACCAGGTGGCCTTGCCACGCTCCTGCAGCCCGGTCCTCTCTGTGTGGTGGGGGAGGGGTCATTCTGTTTTTAAATATATTTTATTGATTTTTTTATAGAGAGGAAAGGAGAGGGATAGAGAGTTAAAAACATCGATGAGAGAGAAACATTGATCAGCTGCCTCTTGCACACCCCCTGCTGGGGATGTGCCTGCAACCAACGTACATGCCCTTGACCGGAATCGAACCCGGGACCTTTCAGCCTGCAGACCGACGCTCTATCCACTGAGCCAAACCGGTTAGGGCCACGGGTGGGCTTTTAAACCACTGATCTTGTGCCCGTTATTTGTGGAGGAGCAGGAGGGACCTCTCTAAGCCACCCTGCTAGATGGTCCCCCCGGCCTGGTGTCTGGCAGCACGGAGGCCTGGCCTGGGGAGAAGGGGGCAGGGCTCTTGATGCCCAGAGACCCCAGGCTGATGGCACCTTAGGGACAGAACCTCTCCCGGCAGGTGGCTCTCGGGGCACTAAGACGGACACCTGGTCAACCACCCAGGCCTGGTGCTTCCCAATGAAGGAGGCGGCCTGGAGGCCGGTGGCACCCATGCTGAAGGCCCGCACAAACCATGCCAGCTCCGCGCTCAACGGGGAGATCTATGTCATCGGCGGTAAGGCTGCCCCCTCCACCGTCCCCAGGCTGCCTCCTGCTGCTCCTCAGAGCCCCCACCACCACCTCTCTGCAGCCTGGGGGCCTCGCAATTCTGCAACAACGGCTCCCCGCCCCCACCCCCTCACTGGGGACCAGAGAGCCCCCATGCTGGCCCCAGGGCCGACGAGGGCACTGCCCCCCATCCTGCCTTTGGAGCTCACTGTCTGGGGTAAACAGGACCCACGCCAGGGCTTCCGGGCAGGCTGGGCAGCGGAATTCCCATCTGGACAGTGCCACCTGGACATCCAGGGACACAGGAAACAGGACGAGTCAGTCCCCAGAAGGAGACCCTTGAGGGGCTGGCCTCCAGCCGCCAGCAGAGGGCTACTCCCATCCCAGAACCTCCGCTCGGGGTCCCCTCCTCAGGGAAGTCCCTGGGGTAGGGAGATCCACAGTGGGTTCCTTTGCTGTCACCCTTGCCCCACCATGCCCCCTGCAGCACTGTCCTGCCCCCACAGGCACCACCCTGGACGTGGTGGAGGTGGAGAGCTACGACCCCTACACAGACACCTGGACGCCGGTCAGCCCCGCCCTGAAGTACGTCAGCAATTTCTCCGCGGCCAGCTGCCAGGGCCGGCTCTACCTGGTGGGCTCCAGCGCCTGCAAGTACAACGCGCTGGCCCTGCAGTGCTACAACCCCATCACAGGTGGGAAACCCCGCGGACACGTGGGGCTCAGGGGGAAAACGAGGGGTCACTGCACAGAGCAACAGCCCCCACCCGACTAGCGGTCGGGGGGCTGGGCAGAGTGGCCCAGGGCGGGTGACAGGGAAGCCCAGCCCCAGATCTGGGATGCTGGCTGGCTGCTGTATCCGCCTGGAACTGGCCTCATGGGCCCGGAGCGGTGGCCTGAACCCACAGGGCCCAGTGGCAGCAGCTCGGTCTCTGCGCTTGGGACAGAGTTTGGCTCCAGCTGGGCTGCTCTGGCTCGGTGGCTCTTCCAGCCCCATCTCTCACCCTCTGTACTGTCCCCTAGACAGTGGACATGATACTGGGACCCACTTTGCAGGATGGGTGTCAGGATCCCACAGGAGGCCAGCTGGGCCCAGGGTCAGGTGGGGTCCCAGGTTAGCAGACCAAGGGGACAGGGCGAGAAGGAGGCAGAGGCCAAAACCAGTTTGGCTCAGTGGAAAGAGCATCGGCCTGTGGACTGAAGGGTCCCGGGTTCGATTCTGGTCAAGGGCATGTACCTTGGTTGCAGGTACATCTCCAGTGGGGGATATGCAAGAGCCAGCTGATCGATGATTCTCTCATCGATGTTCCTAACTCTCTATCCCTCTCTCTCCCTCTCTGTAAAAAAATCAATAAAATTTTTTTAAAAGAATTAAAAAAAAAAAAAAGGAGGCAGAGGCCCCGGGTTCCGGTGAGGGTGGGATGGCCCCCACACCAAGGCCCTGCTCAGAACCTGCGGATGAGGCTCTGAGGGCCTCCTGCCCCTGAGCCCCTCCCACAAGCCCCCCACGTCCCCTCCGCCTGTCCAGAGACCGTGGGGTGCGAGCAGTGGGCGCGGGTTTGTGGACTCCTACCTCCCAGGCAAGGGGTCCCTCCCTGCTCAGCAGGGGGTGCTGTCCTGGAGGAGCCTCAGACCCTGTGTCCCCGCAGAAGCGTGGAGTATGATCGCCTCGCCCTTCCTCCCCAAGTACCTGTCCTCGCCGCGCTGTGCAGCTCTGCAGGGGGCGCTCTACCTGGTCGGCGACAACACCAAGAAGGTCTACGTGTACGATCCCGGGGCCAACCTGTGGCAGAAGGTGAGCCTCAGCCTCGCCTCCCAGTGTGACTCCCACTCCCGGGACCCTGACTCCACACAGAGCAGGCCTGTGGACAGCGGGGCCTGGGGTGTCCCCACAGGGAGGACAGTGAAGGGGAGATGAGGGCCCAGCGTGAGGATGGGAGACCATGAGGATGGGAGAGCCAAGGACGGGGGTACTGGTCACTGAGTGTCCTGTCCCCAGCATGGGGCGGCTGTCCTCCTTGTTGGCCCCAAAAGCAGGCTCAGCCAGAGGTGCTTCACCACAGCTGAGGGCCAGGCCCAGAGGGAGGGAGTCTTCCGTCCGCAGAGGTAGTCAAGCCAGGGTGCAGATTCCTGAGCTGGGGTGAGGGGGGGGCAGCCGGCTTCTTAGCACCCCCTTCTCTTCTGCTGCTGGCCCAGGGCAGGGAGTAGGAAGTGGGCATTTTGAGACTCGCCCTCGGGGGCACCAGAGCCCTGACCCTTCTCCGGTGTCTCCTGGAGAAGGAGGGCAGTGCCCGGAGCCCTCAATGCCTCAGCACTGGTCAGTGCTGGGCCCTCCCCACCTGCCCTGAGATCCTCAGTCCTGGAGTCCCAGGAGGTGGCTCTGCTTCCTGCAGCTGCCCCAGGGCCTGGCCACACAGGGCCTCTGAGACGCACAGCTGTCCTTGGGCGTCAGTGCTCAGCTGACCAGTGCCCCATTACGGTGGCACAGCAGGTGCAGGGCACACGCTGCCAGGCGGGGCTTTCTTCCCGGACCATCTCAACTGGGCCTTGGCTCACGCCACTGCTCTGGGCAGGGTCCCAGCCATGTAGCTGCACTTGCCCTCTCCAGGCCCGAGGCGGGTAGCGGGGTGTGTAAAGGGCGGGGGCACCCATTACAGTCTTCCGGTGCAGGCCACAGACAAACCTCTCCTTACTGCCATCCGGGCTCTTCCAGAAGCACCCACATCTCTCTCGGGCCTTAGGCGGCTGCTGGCCCTGACCCGCACCCCCACCCAGGACACTCCTGAAGCCATGAGCCAAGGCCAGGGGTGTTGAAGCAGTTGGGGAGGGGGAAAGCCTGGCCCCCAGCTGAGAGAAGGGCCCATGGAGCAAGTGGCCCCACACATGTGTCTGCGGCAGAGGCCACATCTGACCCTTTAAGAGAGCAGCTGAGAATCAGAGGCTCAGCCCAGACCTCACCTGGGAGGCAGCCCCAGGCTCAGGTCTCCTGCCCCCTCACTCCAGCTTCCAGGAATTAGCAGATCTGGGCCCTGGGGAACACGACGGGGCTGGGGGCCAGAGCAGGGAGGGCAGTGGGGCCTTCCCACAGAAGGAGCTGGAGGGGAAAGAGAGTCACAGGGAGCCAGAGTGACATCCCAGGTCCTGGGTGTGCTGGTGCCCTGGGTGGGAAGTTGGGCGGGTGCTGCTGGCATCTTCTCTGCCTGTCCCCTGGTCCCCACACTCTGGCCACCACCGGACACTGACCACTGACCACTGCCCGCCACAGGTGCAGTCCCTGCACAGCCTGCACGAGAACGGCGCACTGGTGCCGCTGGGCAACGCTCTGTACCTGACGGGTGGCCGCTGGCAGGGCATGGAGGGCGACTACCACGTGGAGATGGAGGCCTACGACCCCAGGAGGGACGCCTGGGTCCGCCACGGCGCCCTGCCCCGCCTCTGGCTCTACCACTGCGCCTCCACTGTCTTCCTGGACGTCTCCAAGTGGACCCAGCCCTTCAGCCCCGTCCAGGAGCACTGAGGGCTCCCGCACACCCCGGGGCAGCCAGCCGGCCCTCCACGGGAACACCCGTTTAGTTTTGCTTGTTTGTTAACTCGGCGGGGGCCGGACCCAGGGCACCAGGGACATCAGAGGGACATGGTTTTGGTCTCCGCGGCCACCACACCAACTCTGAGCTAACCAGCGGCAAGGGCTAGGATTCTGACGCCCAAATAGACGTGAAGAGCTCCCCAGCCCACAGGGGAGTCTGAGACCTCAGAGGAAGGAGCGAGGAGTGAGAACCCAATGGGCCGGAGAGGAAGATGTGCAAATGAGGGGTGACACAGAGTGGCCCGGGCGCTGAAGCTGCTGGGAAGGGGGCAGCCTGGCCCCCAGCAGTGTGCCCATGGCCAGCAGCCACCCTCTCTGGGACTCCAGCTCCAGCTCCAGGGCCCACTGGCAGCTCAGGTGGCTGCTGGCTCGCCCCTCCTTCTCGACCTCTGCTTATTGGAGCCCGTTTCCCTAAGGCCGCTTCTGGGGACAAAGGAGGACCCCGCTCAACTTTGCTGTGCCACGCCCCTGGGAGGGCAGCACCCACTCCGGACTTGGAGGAAGGAGCCGTGTGTGGTGGACAGGAGAGAGGATCCTTCCAACTGCACAGGGGCTCTGAGGGGGAGGTCAGCGAAGCCGTCTCAGGGGGGTGAGCAGGAGGGCTGCTCTCGGCCAGGGTTTCTGTTTCTTGGGGTGGTTTGCGTACAAAGGTTCTTCATCAGGAAGTCCCCAGCGGAAGGCCATGTGGGTGGGATGCAGGGAATGGGGACGGGGGGCAGGGATCCTGTAGGGACTTCTGGGGAAGCCTCTCAGGCACGTTGTGGCCTGTTGCCAGGCAGCCTCCTGGGCAAGGGCTCCTCCTGCCAGCACATAGCAGGACGCAGGTGGTCAGGCTCCCTGCTCCTTCTTACTCATCCCGAACGAGGCCTGTCACCAGGGACAATGGAGGGCTCTCACTGGGTGCTGAGTAGGCTCCAGCTTTGTTACTGACTCTGTCAGGGTCACAGGCCCACAGCTTGGCTCCAGTCCCATACAGCCTGGCCGAGGCCCTGGTAGTTCCAGTATCTGTCCCTCTGGCCTGGGGTTCCTCTCCAGGGCCACCCCATGGGCTCCTCATTGAACCCCACCAGGGACCAGAGGTGCCTCCAGCATCCTGGTTCTGAGGGAGGGTTCCTGGCCCCCCAGCTTCATGGATCAGACCCACTTTGCTCCCAGACCTGACTCCTCAAGCCCATTTCTTGTGGAGAATGAGTTTGCCCTCAGGCCCCAGGTGCCGAGGGGCCTCCTGGGAACACCAGCCCCAGACCCAGGTCCCTATCCAGCTGGTGAAGCAGGTAAAAATGAGGGTGAAGGTTCCTGGGACCCTTGAATCTTTCTGTACGAAAATTCTGTGAAATATTTAAGTTATTGAAGGTGCTCAGCCAAGAGCTGTTTCAAAACAAAGACTCAGAGGTTGAAATGGACTTACTTTGATCACAAACGGGTGTTTGAAGGGCTGGTGTCCTGGGATTGGACTTGCTTTCTGCTCTTGCACATCCTCAGCAATGGGGAGCAATAGCCAGGATGGGAGCCCCTCTTCTGACTGGCTGAGCTGCTCTTATTTGGGGAGCCTGGATCAGACCAATTATTCCCTTCAGGAAGGGGGTTAATGAAGGGCCATTTCCCAGGTGTGGCCAAAGCCTCCCAGGGCAAGCAGAGCTGTCACCACCCCGCTGTCCTAGGGAGAGGGGGCAGAGCAGATGCAGACTCCAGAGCTGGGTAGAGAGGACTGCCAAGGAGCTGGGCCTTTGCTAAAGGAACACAGCCACTGCCCACTGCCACCTGCAACCCAGCAGGGAGGAAGTGGCAAAATAGGGACCCAACCCCACTCTCATTTTTGCCCTGTAGTCTCTCCATAGTGCTTCCCCCGACCAAACCCAACCAGAATCAGAGGGAAGACAGGCCATTGCCATTGTGCATAGTGGCCAGCCTGAGGGGGCAGACAGCAGGTGGGGAAGAGTGGACAGGGTGCCACGGGCCCATGGAAGTTTTGTAGCATGCCATACTCACAAGGTATAACAGGACAAGTGTAACTCACTCAAGGAACATCCACAGAGCAAGCTAAGCCATTCTCTTCCCCTTATCAAAGTCCCAGGGATACAAGGATTCTTTAGAAGGTTTGGGGCTACTGTGGGCTTCCAGAAAGAGGGGTGGACAACCTTGGAACATGCACAGAAGCCCACCAAATTCTCAGGCCCACGAGAGTGAGGGCGGGAAACCATCTCCTCAGCACCAGGGTGCTCTCTCTGCCAGTAGGTGTGTGCTGTCTTTCCCACAGACAATGTTGGGTAAACTGAGGTACCACCACCCTACCCAGCAGACCCCAGTCTTCAGTGACCACACAACGTCCTCTGAAGCCAGGCTCAGCATAGCCAACTTGTGCTCAGCTCCCTTAAGGTCCCAGGTGAGTCAGGGTCTGGGGATATTTCCAACCACTTCCATCTGATTTGGGTTTTCTAGGATATCCCAGACAGGACCCTTTTATTATTGAACATCTTCCCTGGACTAGGGACAGTGATTGCTAGTATCAGGCAGTTGACACTCCCATGAAAATGTGTGTAATTAAATGAACTGGTCACATGACAATTCACTATAGTTAATTTCAAGCATTGTTCCACTTGGTAGGTCAACCAGTTGGCCCAATGGAAACTAACTACAATAGTTTATTTAAAAGAAACAAATTCTTTTTATTAATTTCAGAGAAGAACGGAGGGAGAGAGAGAGAGAGAGAGAGAGAGAGAGAGAGAGAGAGAGAGAATCATCAGTGATGAGAGAGAGTCACAGATCAGCTGCCTCCTGCACACTCCCTACTGGTGACCAAGCTGCAATCAGGGCATATACCCTGACTGGGAATCAAACCATGATCTCCTGGTTCATAGATCACCACTCAACCACTGAGCCACACCAGTCAGGCAGCAGGTTTTGAATAACGTTGTTTCATTCAACATCATTCCATTACAATGTTGATGAGATGCCCTACGAACTTGACTCTTGTCTCTATTAGTTATCCTATGGTAAAATTGGTTTTCTATATGCCCTGGTTGTGCTTAAAGTCCTGGAACCCATCAAAGATGTTAGGTGAGGAATTATTGTATTGACCTGGAATTTGAGAGTGACTCACGGAGTGGGTGGTCAGATCCACAAATGAGGTGAGGATGCTCACTCTCCCTGGGTTCCAGTGTGAGACTCAGCCTGAAGCAAAGCGTGGCTGCCGTTGAGTCTCCTGAGCCCTCAGCACCAGGCATGGAAGGCGGCCAGGCATGCCGCTGACGAGTGAAGCATGACATGGACTGTGATGAGCCCTTCGTGAAGGAAGTTCTTCCCTGGGTGGAATGAACGCCCAGGAGCCCACATGACTTCCTCAAAGTTGACAGACTGTCCCAGGGCTTCTCAGGACCAGGGGTTGGAGTGATATTGGTCACAGCCAACTTGGACTCAGCTCCCTTTGGTTCCCAGGTGAGCCACCATCACATTTAAGAATTTTATTCTTGCCGAAACCAGTTTGGCTGAGTGGATAGAGCGTCAGCCTGTGGACTCAAGGGTCCTGGGTTCGATTCCGGTCAAGGGCATGTACCTTGGTTGTGGGCACATCCCCAGTGGGAGGTGTGCAGGAGGCACCTGATCAATGTTTCTAACTCTCTATCCCTCTTCCTTCCTCTCTGTGTAAAAAAAATCAATGAAATATACTAAAAAAAAAAAAAAAAAAAAAAAAAAAAAAAAAGAATTTTATTCTTGTCCAGCTGGTGTAGTTCAATGGTTAAGCGTCAACCTATGAACTGGGAAGTCATGGTTTGATTCCCGGTCAGGACACATGCCTGGGTTTCTGGCTCAATCCTGTAAGAGGCATACAGGAGGCAGCAAATCAGTGATTCTTTATCATTATTGATCTCTCTCTCTCTCTCTCTTTCTCTCTCCCTCCCTCTTTGAAATCAATAAAAAGTATTTTTAAAATATTACTCATTCTCTGATATTTTTATAAAAATTGATTCTTGACAAAATGGCAAATAAAGTAATGGATATCTACCCTTTTTGCATTCAATTGAAAGGTGAACTAAAGTGTAATTTTTAAAAATAATCTATTAGAAGCATGATAATGTTACCAGTAAGATGATGAGACCTCGTTTCCTGTCTTAAAGGAAAGAATTCAGTCAAAAGACAAAGTGCAGCAAAGGAAGGAAGGATTTATTGCCGCAGCAAACACACACTTAGGTGGAACGTTTGTGAAAGCTGGGGACAGTGAGCCAAGGACAGGTCTAGCACAGAAGAAGCAACAAGAAAGCCTAGGCTGGGCTGCTTTGGCTCCTGGGAAGTCAGAGGAAAGAGGGCCTTGGAGACAGGTTGGGGATAATCCTGGGATGAGCTGCCAATGCCCAACGCTCCCCTGGTTGCAAGTCTCATGGGGTCCCTTAGAGGAAAGAAGGGGGAGGAAAGGCCCTGGTGGAGAGCATGTGCTGGGTCCTCTGCTCAGAGGGAGTCATCTCTCTTGCATGTGGGTATCTTAGGGAAGGCCTCAGGGGAGCTCTTAATAGAATATTCATCAGCTTTCCAGGTGTGTCTTTTCAAGGTCATGGTCTCCTCTGATTGATCAGCCCCCAGGGCAGGGAGTCATTAGTCAATGCAGCTGGTCCCAAGGCGTAGCTTGTCTGGTTTCATTGCATTTCCAGACCTGGAGCTGAAATACAGCCGAGGCCTAGAGGTTATCCTTAGGGAGGAAAGGGTGAAGGGTCTAAATTGCACAACCAGCGATATGAGAGATCAGGGGGTCTACACCACATGACCAGTGATATGCTAGGGGAGGGAAGGTTACCTGAGGGTGAGGTTCTTGTTTTCCTGGTGACTGTCTCAGTCCATTGTCCTTACTCACTTCATGTCCATCTGACTGCCTATCACAATAACACTTGCAGAAAATAACACACGGGACCCTCTAGGCAGACGTGAAAAAGGTAAGATTG